AAGTTCTAGCTAGAGCAAGAAGACAACTAAAGGAGATTAAGGGGATACATATTGGAAAGAAGTCAAAGTATCAGAGAACTCTTTTAGCTGATAGTCACCTTCAGTGAAGTGTCTGGATACAAGATTAACTAAAGAAACAAAAATCAGTATCCCTCTTATATACAATTGATAAAGAAATTAGGGAAACAACAACCTTCAATAACAATAGTAACAAATAATATAAAATATCTTAAGGTAACTATAACCAAGCAAGTTAAAGACCTGTATGACAAGAACTTCAAGTCTTTGAACAAAGAAATTGGAGAAGATATCAGAAGATGGAAAGATCTCCCATGCTCATGGATAGGTATGATTAACACAGTAAAAATGGTCAACTTACCAAAAGCAATCTACAGATTCAATGCAATCCTCATTAAAACTAACACAACTCTTTAAAGATCTTGAAAGAAAATACTCAACTTGTTATGGGGGAAAAAAGGCCCAGTACAATTCTGTACCATACAATAAATGCCAGAGGTATCACCATCCCTAATTTCAAGCTGTACTACAGAGTTATAGTAATAAAAAATTGCATGATATTGACATAAAAATAACAAGTAGATCAATGGAATTAAATAGAAAATTCATACATAAATCCACACACCTATGAACACCATGTTTTTGACAAAGAAACCAAAATTATACAATGGAAAAAAGAAGGCATCTCCAACAAATGGTGCTGGCATAACTGTATGTTGGCATGTAGAAGAATGTAAATAGGTCTATACTTGTCACTCTGCATAAAACTCAAGTCCAAGTTGATAAAAGACCTCAACATAAATCCAGTTACTTTTAATGTGATGGAAGAGAAAGTGGGAAATAGCACTGAATGCATTGGAAGAGATCACTTCTTGAATAGAATACCAGTAGCCCAGACACTAATATCAACAATTAAAGGGGACCTCATGAAACTGAAAATCTTCTGTAAGGCAAAGAACACCATCAATAGGACAAAAAATCAGCCTACAAAGTGGGAAAATATCTTCACCAACCCCACATCTAACAGAAGGCTGATTTCCAAAATACACTCAAGAAAGTAGACATCAAAAAACTAAATAATCCAATTAAAATACGGGGGTACATATCTAAACAGAATATTCTCAATAGAAGAATCTCAAATAGCTGAAAAACACTTAAAGATATGTTCAACATCCTTAGCCATCAGGAAAATGCAAATCAAAACAACTCTGAGATTCTATCTTACACCTGTCAGAATGGATAAGATTAAAAACACAAGTGACAGCTCCTGCTGGAGAGGATGTGGAGCAAGGGGAATACTCCTCCATTGCTGGTGGGAGTGCAAATGTGTACAATCATTTTGGAAATCAAGATGAGTTTTTTGTTTATTATTATTATTATCATTATTATTTTAGAAAATTAGGAATCAATCTACCTTAAAACCCAGCATTACCACTCTTGGCCACATACTGAAAGGATGCTCCATCATACCACAAGGATACTTGCTCAACTATGTGCATAGAAATTTATTTGTAGTAGCTAGAACCTAGAAACAGCCTATACACCCCTCAACTGAAGAATGAATAAAGAAAATGTGGTACATTTACACAATGGAGTATTGCTCAGCTTTTAAAAACAGGGACATCATGAAATTTGTGGGCAAATGGATGGAACTAGAAAAGATCATCCCAAGTGAGGGAACTCAGCCTCAGAAAGACAAATATGGTATGTACTCACTTATAAGTAAATATTAGCTATAAAGTAAAAAATAACCATGCTACAATCCACAGACCCAGAGAGGCTAAGTAACAAGGAGGTATCAAGAAAGGATGTTTGGATCTCCCTGGGAAGGGAAAAAAGAAGATATCTCGTGGGTGGGCAGGGAGTGGGTGGGCGTGGAAATATGAGGGATCAGGTTGGGCAGTGGATGGAGGGGAAAGAGTACTGAAAGAGATGACTGGAAAGGTGGGCATCTAGAGGTCAGGTAGAATCCTGGTACAAGGAAAACTTCCAGGAATCTATAAAGTTGACCCTAGCTAGGACTCCTGGCAATAGCGGATATGTAACTTGAACTGGCCATCTCCTGTGACGAGGCAAGACTTCCAATGAAGGGATTGGGGCATCAACCCAGCCACATAACCTTCAACCTACTCTCTTTTCTACCTAAGGGATGCTCTGGGTGTAAGAACAGCACTGATATTGTGGGAGTGACCAACCAAAGACTGGTCCAGCCTGAGTCCCATACCACTAGAGTGAGCCCATCCCTGACACTGCCTGGAGGGCCAGGACCCAGAGGCTGGATGGCCCAGAGCCCCAGGATAAAACCAAACACTATTGGAGATAAAAAATGTCAACATAATGATGTCTAATGATATTATGCTATACTCATTGATTGGTGCGTACCCCAATTATCATCTGTGAGGCTTCATCCAGTAACTGATGGAAACAGATGCAGAGACCCATAGCCAAATAAACATTAGACTGAGCTCGGGGAATCCTGCTGAAAAGAGGGAGGAAGGATTGTACAGGTCAGAGGGGTCAAGGACATCACAAGAAAACTCACAGCATCAACTAACCTGGGCTCATAGGGGCTCATAAGAGTATGAATCGACAACCATGGGCCAGCATGGGACTGACCCAAGGCCTCTACAATATGTGACAGTTGAGTAGCTTGGTCTATTTGTGGGACTCCCACCAATGGGAGCTGGGGCTGTCCCTATGCTTTGGCTGGCTTTTGGGACACTATTTCTCATGCTGGGTTGTCTTGCCCCACCCTAATTCAAGGGGAGGTACTTAGTCTTACTGCTACTTGATATGCCGTGTTTTGTTGATATCCATGGGAGGCTTGCCCTTTTCTCAACAGAAATGGAGGAGGAGTGGATGGGGATGCAGAGGGGAGGTAGGAGGAGAGGAGGGAATGGAAACTGTGGTCAGGATGCAAAATAAATAAAACATTTAAAAAAAGTATTGGTATGAAGACAAACATACAGTCAGTCAATTTCTGAAAAGGATTTTAAGAACACATAACTGAACATATATACTTTCTTGGTCAAGTGATGTTTGGAAAGTTGGAAATATACATGTGACCAGGCCATGGACCCAAGTTTACCTCTTCTATAATATTAACTCAAAGTATATTAATGACTTAGTTTTAAATATAAGACTTGCTGGAACAGTAAACTTTAGAAGACAATGTAGAGGAAAGTGTTCACAAACCCGGTGTCGATCTGATAATAAATTAATTTCCAAAAAACACCTGTAATTCGAGAGTCTGGTTAAATAATGGACCAAGGATTTGCTAATAGATTTCTCCAAAGAAAACATGCAAATGACTCAAAACACATAAAAAATAAACAAACCCACTGGTCATCAGGAAAACACAAACTAAAACTCTAAGGAAATACAACCTTGTATCTATAAGGCTATAATAAAAATAAAATGAAGAAATAAGAGACAAGTGTTGGTGAGGATATAGAAAAGTCAAAACCCTGGACCTCACAAATGCAAATATTAAATAGCACTGTGGTATAGAAAATAGTATGGAGTTTCCTCAAGTAAACATGGAACTTCTATTGTGATTTTTCTTGTGAGTTTGTATCCAAAACATTGGAATTAGGATCTCAAGTATACATATAATCTCTTGTTTATTATTATTATTTATATTTAAGACCTGTATACAACCTGAGTGCTGATCAAAAGATGAATAAAAAAAGATGTGTTAAACATACTAATCAGCCTTATAAGAAACTTTGGCATTCCTGGAAACATGGTTGTTGTGAAACCTGGAGGTTATTTTACTAAACATTTTAAACAAACAAACAAACAAACAAACAAAAAAAAACCCCCTTTTTCACAAAGATAAATACTGCATAATTCCACTTACATATGGTATTAAAAATAAACTCGTAGAAGTAGAACATACAGCAGTGTTTCCCCAGGTCAGGGGATAGGAGAAATGGTGGCCGAGTTTTAAGCACACCAGATCGCTAAGTTCTGAAGTGCTGCTATACAACGGTGCTTAGATAAAGCAAGTATGGTTTTGTTCACTTCAAATATTTTTTTTTTGGTCTTTTGTTGTTGTTTTTTGGTTTTTCAAGACAGGATTTCTCTGTGTAACATCCCTGGTTGTCCTGGAACTCGCTTTGGAGACCAGGCTGCCCTTAAACTCACAGAGATCTACCTGCCTCTGCTTCCTGAGTGCTGGGATTAAAGGCGTGAACCACCATGCCTGACTTTCAAATCTTGTTAAGGGACAGGTTTCATATTAAATGTTCTTAAAAAAAACAAACATCTCCTCACCACTCAAATACACAAAAATGGGACAAAAGATACATTGGGAGAGGTAGCTCTACCTATTCCGTGGTGTTAATGATATCATAGATGCTTGCATATGCCCAAACCTGAGAGATGATTTATGTAAATCCCATGCAGTTTAGCTCCTTGTATATTGATACCTTAATAAAGGTATGATCCAATTATGCATGAATGTAGTAATTATAAAGAAAAAAGGAAGAGCTGTGTAGATGTAACCAACCGTCTTATTAAATAAGAAACACAGAACCAATGCAAAGAAGAAAGCCAAGAGATCAGAGCTAAAAGCCTTACCGCCTGCTGCAGCTAACCTCTTTAGCCAAGAGACCTCTCTGAAAGAGACCTACTTCCTGTGTGTTTGTCTTTATATGGTCTTTCTGTTCTGCCTTCTCATTGGTTGTAAAACCAACCACATGACTGCCTCGTCACTGCCTGTAAGTACAGCCCTCCAGGTCTTTTATGGTATTGAGATCAAAGGCGTGTGTATCCAATGCTGGCTGTATCTTTGAACACACAGAGATCTACCTAGCTCTTCTACCAAGTGCTGGGATTAAAGGCGTGCACCACGAACGCCCAGCTCTGCTATGGCTTGCTATTAGCTCTGACCCCCAAGCAACTTTATTTATTAACATACAAATAAAATCACATTTCAGTACAAATAAAATACCACCATAGAGCTACATATCCCCCACCTCTTTCTTCTGATGTCAGTTGAATTTACTTAAGGAAAAGTGAAGCAGAGGCCTCTGGCAGTTGAGTCTGTGTCCACAGCGTCCATTCCGAAGCTTTCTGCCCTTTATGGCAACTGTGACGTCATCTCACCCTGGGCAGGGAACAAAAAGGTGACAGGAAAAAACATTTACTTCTCTGTGGGGGACTTCACAGCTTTTATTTCCTTCAAGTCCTCAAACATATCCCTGGTAGTCAAAACCACTGTGTGTGTGTGTGTGTGTGTGTGTGTGTGTGTGTGTGTGTGTGTGTGTGTGTGTGCGCACGCGTGCGCGCGCGCGCGCACGCCTTGGAGAAGTAAAGCAGCGTCCTCTCTGTCATAGCTTGTAGGTGGCCCTGGCATTTCTGCATCCCCCTGTCTGTGGCCAGACCTGTGCCGGCACATGCTGCAGCTTTCTGCCACACTGTGCTGCGTATTTTCTTTCCAAGCTGCTTCTTTCTCCACATACCCTTGTCATTGAGTACAATTTTGTGTTCCCTACAGGCTGTGAAGATGCTTTCATTTATTTCTTGTTTTAGGTACCTAGAATGTTTGGCTCGGGGTCAAGAACTATGGATAATTAGCTCACAATATAGAAGCAAAAGAATTCTGCTTACAGATTTACAACCGCAGGATGGACTGGAAATAACCCTGGATTCTAATAATACTATTTATAGTAACCATCCAAGGGAAATTGTAAGAAAGTCGAAGGAAACCAAAGGCAAAGTAAATTGCTTCAATCTAGGCTGAGTTATTTCCCCATTAGTTTTAAACTCAAGATGATGTTTATTAGTTTTTTGATATAATCTAAACTGGCCAATCTATTTTTGGGAGCAATCGGTGTTTAACTTGCCTGCCTAGAAATTCTTTACAGTTAGCCTTTTGATGAAATTAGTGCAATGAATTGTGCTTAGTGTTGGAAAGCTGCTTCGAAGTGGGAACCTGTAATACGCCTTTGCTCCATTTAGCTGCATTTTCTACCATAACTCAGTTCTGGAGACTGAAGTAAAGGCTTATTCCCTTGTGGGGGAAGTTCGTTCACAATGCTGGCAGCAATCTGCAGAGTTTCATGACTCAGGCTCTGAACACCTTGAAAGTGCACAGACAGCGATCTCCCCGAGCTTTATTGTGCCAGCATCAAGGTCAGCCAGTGAGCCTCGGCTCACATTTGTACGGTCGAAACTGCATTACTTGGGCAGGAAAGAGAAGTTACTTTTTTGGGCAATGTTCCAATAGAGCCAAATGTTTTGCCCTCTAGTATAAAAAGTCTAGTTGTAGTACACCCTTTTTGTTGCCTACAAAAAAAACTTCCTTCTTTGTTAATAATACTCCGCTTTCATTCTTAGCTCAATTAGCCAGCCCCAGGATGGGAAACCGGTTTAGCTAATTCAGGAGTGCAATCCCACCCGTCCACCATTGATTAGTTGACACTGTGTGTGCCTGTGATTGGAGCTTCACAAATGGGAAGCGTTGGGAAGATATTCAGAAGATAATTACCCTCTGATTAAGACAGACAGAAGGTGCTTTTCCATTCTTTGCTTTGGAAACTGTTGTTTCCAAACTGCTTACTCTGCTTTTAGTGGGACACAGGGCTTGAGGCATGAGACAACTAAGCAAGTGTCTCACAGACCTGCAGGAATGGCCCAGTTGCACTCCTGAACTGACTCTAGCTGGTACTGTGACTTTAAGTTTCTTGTTACATGAGGAAATGGAAGGAAGTTATCACTTCAGCCCCAAATGATCAGGAATTTTGTTACTTGCTCTGTAAAGCATTGTGACTATCGATCCAGTGCTTAATACAGATTATTAGTTTTCTTAAATCTCTTCCTTTCTCCCATAAACCAGATGTCAGTATTGCCATGGCGCAGTTTCATGCTAGAGATTCACTGAAGAGTTTAAGTGGCAGTATTCTTATCTGCTAACATTTTTTCAGTGCTTTTTAATTCCTTAGAAGACAGAATCCATATGAAGTCATCCTCAAATGCATTTCTTAGGTATCTGTTATCACTCACTGAGATACTTTTGGATGATGGTGCCTTAAGTCACTGCCTCCTTTGGGGCTTACATATAAATGTTGTTATTTGTTATGGGGCATTCACCATAGAAGACTTCTCAGACATGGGTTTAAGTCAATAGAATGTCTATTAGTTGGGATTCCAGTGTAGTCCCGAGCCTTTCTCAGGGTGAGCTTTTAAGTATAAAAATCATGTCCTGGGTTGACATGCTTCAGTTAACAAGAACTAAGCCCAGAATCAGAACTATAGAAGCCAAAAAGCAAGGTTAGTGTATTCAAAAAACTTTCCCCTAACTACAGACTTTGATAGATTAGGTCTTTGTTTTAGTTTTGGCAGGTGGTGCTGTCTTCATGCTGAGTTTTAAAGCCTGAATGGTACTTTCATCATGGAGTCAGTCGTGTTAAGATCTTGGGGCTTACTAAGTCTGGTGCCCTGTTACAATATTCATGTCTTGGGAGGGACAAGAGAGGAATAAATAACTGAATCATTAGAATCTGATGTTTAATTTGGTCCTGGTAAGAACACATGTATATGTGTGTATCTTCTAATCAGGACAACCTTTACTATTCATGATATACCTCTTTTTTGTCTCTGTTTTCTATAATATTTTTTTCAGAATTTCTTTTATTTTCTTAGTAAGGATATACACTAACATTCCAGAGGCTTTGGAGACCATTGTAAATAATTTATACTTTGAAAAATGCCTGCTCAGGATACAGAGAGCAGGGCGCTTGCGGGGTCAGATGGTGTATTATTCTGACTGTTGACAGTTCAATTGCACCTAGGGGTCCAGAGAGTGGAAACCTTCTCCCTTATTACACATACTGAAAACAAGAATGGACCTTTTGCATATCCTGAAGATTTATTCTTCTGCCATGTGTAGATGGCCCCCACTACCGTCTTAAACCTTGGCCAGAAAGCTCTGCTCTCCTTGGTATTGCTATTAATACAGTTATTTATATCCCAGCACGTTCTGTTTTATTTTCCCTCTTTGGTATGCATGCCCTCTTGTCAGGGGGCCAGTGTGTTTTTGCGTTATCTTCTGTGTCCATAGACACTTGATTACAGTAAATAACTACACCCAAGACATTTGTGGGTCAGGGGAATGTACCTTTGGATGGGTCCTCACACTACCAAAGGACAGCAGGTACATCAGGAGAATGGAAGCAGAGTTCATGGTCATAGGACATGATGCCTGATGCTTCCTTGCTCTGGGGTTGCTTGCAAATGGCAGTCCCATGTCACATAGACCTGACTGTTAATTTTAGCTTATGAACTCATGCTTATAGATTTCATATAGATTTGAAATGTGTAACATTTTCTTAAGAAACATTTCTTTCTATTAAATGGTAAATACCATTATAAGCTTTTATTTCTGTTGTTTTACATGTAAAACTTAAATATTGAGATTATATTGAGCATCTGTAATTTGAATATCATAAATGCTATAACTCTTTTTCTTCATTACTGTAAGATGTAAACGTCAATGTATAGTTAAATGTGTATGGAATTTATAGGGAAATATGTAGAAGAATCGAGTACATAGCAGTTCATCAGACAAGAACATAAGACTAATGTCAAAAGGGGAGATAGGTCAGGTGGCCTTGGTACATGCCTTTAATCCCAGCACTTGGGAGGCAGAGGCAGGCAGATCTCTGTCTTCAAGGCCAACCTGGTTTACAAAGTAAGTTCCAGGACAGCCAGAGTTGTTACACAGAGACAGCCTGTCTCAAAAAAAAAAAAAAAGAGGGTGGTGTGTGGGAAAAAGTTGGATGTCGATATTTCTCATGCTGTTCAGTTTAAGGACAGTACTGTTCTGTGGCCTTGTATGCCTACTGAATGGGGTCAGGGGCTGAGAGTGGGAAAAATGACTTCAGGGTCATTCCTGTGGGGCATCCTTTAAAACTAAAGTTTCATTAATTTAAGATTTGGGGTCTTTAATATTTAGGATAATTTTGATTTTGAGCTCAAGAAGATCTTTTAGGTTACAGGATACTTGGAACTATCTGGGAAATAATCATAGAAAATCCCGAAGGAGAAAACAATTTAGTTTTCCCATACAAGCCTGAAAGTTCATATTCAGCTGATACTGTAAATGAAACAAAAATGTGAACAATATCAAAGTATAACAGTTCCATAGAGGAAAAACTTGTTGGGAGGCTTTAACTTTTATTATATTTTATAGACAAGACAGTTTGATGCAACAGATTTTTTTTAGGCTGTCCCAAATATAATTTTGGGTGAAAACTTTTAAATAATTTAGATTTAGTGAATGTAGTTTTGGTTTAACCTTTTCAGTCTCCAAAGAAATTTCAGAAACATGTAATTATGTTTGTATTTTTTAGCCATCACATTACTTGGAAGAAATATTTATTTTTTTAAAAATTATTTGTTATGCTGAATAAAAACATAAATTAAAAAGTGAAGTTTTATTAATAAAAGAGGAGATAAAATTTTGTTAATGTTGCTGTTAAGCTGATAAGAGTTGCAATTAGCCATTAAAATAATCAGAGATCTGAGAAGGACAAACTAAAGCAGGAAGTGTACTCCAAATGGTACAGGAAGCCTTTTATTAACATTTTTAATGCTGTTTTCTGTAGATCACTGAATAGTTTGAGGACCATATATTAAGTATACTCAATTTTCATCAAACTTTACTGATTTTTAGTTACTTGCTTTAGGCATTACATTGAAAAGATATACAGAAGGTTAAATAAATCTTGTACTTATTATGATTATAAACATAGTTTTGAGCACATTAAAGAAAACATTTAAAAGGTGACTGATCATTAGCTTGCATGACTGAATTATTTTTGACAGTTTACAACAAATTATTAGCTTTTGTAAGATTAGGATTTTACAGTTTTATCCGTGCTAGTTTTGAGCCTTAAAATTCAAATCTTCAATTTAATTAAATAAATTAATAAATAAATTAAATTAAAATAAAACTTTAATGCTGTGGGATGTTCTGTATGTTAAATGTGTTGTTCTGATTGGTTAATAAATAAAACACTGATTGGCCAATAGCCAGGCAGGAAGTAGAGGTGGGACAAGCAGAGAGGAGGATGCTGGGATGTGGAAGGCTGAGCCAGAGAGACGCTGCCAGCTGCCACCATGAGAAGATGTTAAGATACCAGTAAGCCACCAGCCATGTGGCAACGTATAGATTAATAGAAATGGGTTAACTTAAGATATAAGAACTAGATAACAAGAAGCCTGCTGAGGCCATACAGTTTGTAAGCAACACAAGTCTCTGTGTGTTTACTCGGTTGGGTCTGAGCGACTGGGGGACTGGTGGGTGAGAGAGATTTGTCCTGACCGTGGGCCAGGCAGGGCCAGGAAAACTCTAGCTACACTTTAAAGTATAAGTACAGCCACAAAGGCAAAGAAGTTAGATATATATCTTTAAGTTAGTTTTCATTTGTATGAATGGACCTTAGGAATGTAGACCTTATTTATTAAACATATGCTGTTACTTATTTAAAGTGTTCTAGAAGCCTGGTCTTAGCAAAGATAAAAGTAGT